GGAGGAGCCTTCACGCGTGAATTCCTCCGGCATGATCATGCCGTCCGGGTGGTCCCAGTTCCAAAACGGGATGGCGAAGGTTGGGTCGTCGATCAAATATCCCAGGATCCTCTCGTAGAAATAAAGGTACCATCTGTGCCAGGGTAAGAAGTGCCAGGAGTTGTGGATTTGGAGCCTCAAGTCTGGGGCCCCGCCCGTCTGAGGGTAGACCAGATTGCAGTAGGCGCAGTGGATTTTGGCCTGCTGCATGAAGCTCCGCGGGTCGTCGTCCGGTAAAGACTTCATGCGCGAAAGGGCTTCTTCGTACTTTGCAAAGTAGTCCTTCCCCGCAAGGTGGGCCGCGGGTCGGACACGCATTTTGGTGACGGGCGGGAGCTTGTAGTCGGTAGCGTCCGAGCAATTAGAGAGACAACAAGTTATGTCAAGTGGCTGTTTGGTGTTGAAGTTGGTGCCGGTGAAACATTTGGAGAGGTCCGGGGATGTGATGGGAGAGGCGAGGGCCGGGGGACCGCGGGAGAGAAGTTGGGCCGCAGCAGCACCAGATAGGCCACCGGCTCCGAGGAGTAAGTTTCGTCGGTCGATTTTTGCGAGGTCGGAAGAGGTTTCGGTGTCATCGTCAGCGGCTTTGCATGAGATGGCGAGGGGACGGGCTCGGGTGGCGGTTTTGGTCGGGAGATGAGGTGGGAACGGCGGCGGCTTGCCGGAGAGTGTGGTGGTGGACCAGGCCGAGAGAGCAAGAGAAACCATTTTGAATTTGGGTACTATTTGTTTGAGGTTGTGAATTAGTAAGTCATATGATGATATATATATATAGACTTTCCCGTGATTGTGATCACTGTTGGTGCGTGACCATTGTACGAGAAAGTTCATTGTAATGTCACAATCACCATCATGCATACGTCGTACTATTTAAACAAAACACGTGCTTATATAATAATCAACACGTGCTTAACACGTCGTACTATTCAAATAAATTGTAAATAATTGTTTTCTTTTTTTTGGTACAGGAACCTTCCGGTTTCCGGATCCACAGTGTAACTGACTAATCCGGAATTATGAGTTCATAATATTAGTTAAACGTGCTTAACACGTGCTCCTGATACTTTAGGATTGAATCTTTATTTTTGCAAGCTTTATAAAAAATCAGAGCCTAAAATATACGTTCTCTCTGAGTGTTACTAATACCATTACAACTTCAGCAAAATTATACTAAAATACGGGTTTACCCGGCCTTGCAAATCCCAAGTTTGTCTATGAAGAGCAAATCTAATTGTATTAATGTCTAGATTTGATTTCTTCTGAGCAATACTCATCGATAGGGCATCATCAGTTTTGATGACTTTATAAAAAATTATATTATTATTTATATTTAAAATGACATTAGTACAACTCCCGTGTATTATACAATTGTTTGTTAAAAAATTATTCATAAATTTTAAAATTAATAAAAAAATTATTTTAAATTTTATGTACATTTTTTTTACAGAAAATATATATTATTATATATTTTAGAAGATACTTATTAATTGTGCGACTTACATGTGTCATATTATAGTAATTTTTATGAAGATAAATATAATTTATTTTTTTATACATACAACATGAATGTTAAATTGAAGATCATGAATAGATGATTGATTTGATATATTATATATGTAAAATTAATAAAAAAATATAAAAGTTATTAACTTTTAAAAGACATTTATAATGCAATGATTATAATAAGAAATGATATCAAAATACAATTAATACATGTAACATGATCATAAATAATCAACATATTTATGGATAATTCGGACCTAATTATTTTTAGATTGAACGTAAATTAAAATTTATTCAAGCCTAATAACGAAGCATGTAATTTTGCCACATAAGATCCAAACAAATACGAGCCTACCACTTAGACTCCACACATTTTGAATTAATATATAAGAGGGAGATTAGTTAGTTGCTGGATATATTATAATCAATTTTCTAAGACATATTATATAATGTGTTTGAATAATTTTATTATATAATTTTATTATTTTTCAATTAGTGGAGTTAAATAATTTAATTTGTATTATAAAGATAAATATAATTATTATTTAATTTATATATATATATATATAAATATAATATGAATGTCAAATACTCATCAAGAAATGATAATTAAGTTGATATATAATATATGAAAACTGACAAAAAGTTCAAATATTGCATGGATAGCAATTAGGGGTGGGCGCGGTCGGGGACGGTCCGAGATTTGACCTATACTGTACCTGTCCCGTCTTTTTTAACCGGTCTGGGAACAGTCCGGGATGAAACACCGTCCCAAATGGATCGGTATCAATCGGGATCGGGACAAAACGGTACGGAATCGGGACAAAAAGAATCAAAAAAAAAAAAAAAGCCTCAACCAAATATTTATTCCATTAAAACAAGCAGTTGAACTGAAGTTGTTTGTGAATATAAAGAACTACTGTAGGAGTTTTTAGCTGAGTTGTTTTTGTTCGGTGAACTTGATGTGTGTATCGGTTAGTGACTTTGAAAAATCCGAATTATTTGGTTGTGTTGCAATTGTTGCGTAGAAAATATATAAATATCAACATACAGTAAAAGTTCAGAACAAACTTACATACACATGTTGTGTGCAGCCTTTTTTCTAACTTCTGACTTGATATTTTTGTACATAAAGGCTGAACAGCCTGAAGCTTACTAATTATTTACTATAGTATTTATATTAATATAATTACAATGTATTATATATATACAATGTATTTTATATATATATATATATATATATAATATTTTGTACAAACTAATTAAACGGGACAAACGGGACGGTTCGTGGCAAAAATAATAAAAACTGATACCGACATTGTTTAAAACGGTTCAGGACCGGGAACGGTATGAAAATAATGAAAACCGTTTGGAACCTTGTTTTTCGGAACGGGACCATTTCGGTCTGGTTCGGTATCGGGAAATTCGGTTTTTTTTGCCCACCCCTAATAGCAATCTAGTTTCGAATCACACAAATAAATAAATAAATAAATAAAAAATAAAAATCTTAATATAGGACAAAGCGTTCAAATTGAAATATGAAGTTGATACTTCGAAAAAATGCATCTCATTAACAATAATGACATATTTTGTGGTAGTGGCAATTAAGAAAATAACGAAAAATAGAGAAAAAAAATAAAGTTTCGAATTTGTTTAAAACGAAAAAAATTAATTAGATAAGTATTGACTAGTCGTTGGAGTCCATGATGGATAGGTGAGGCTGCTGCCAGCACGTGGTTCTAGTACAACATACAAAAAGAAAAAAAAAAATCAAATTTTTTCTCGCGTGGGATAAAAACAAAATAAATATTCACATTTTTCTTGTGTTGGATCTAGACATGACTAGGTGCTGGTTCCCGGCTCGGCCCGGCCCGGCCCGCCGGGCTAACAGTCCTGGATTGGGTGAACCGGAACCGGCCCGGTCAGAATGAAAGGTCGGTTCGACGAACCGGCCATGTATCGACGGGTCACAAAATCGTCGTTTTTCAGTTGGGTCCGGGCCAGTCCGCCGGTTCCCGATTTTTTTTTTAAAAAAAATTTATGTATATATTTATATTTATATTAAATACATGCTATTTTTTAATGTATGTATATATATGTATTTATACTTGACATTAAGAATTAAATTACAATATGTATTTGTAATTTGAAATCAAAGTCAATGTAGTTCTTTTATAAAACGTCTCGAATTACTTGCATTTATTTTTTAGATTTGTGCTTACAAATTTGTTCACAAATCACTGGAAGTTTGGAACTAATGAATAGGGGATGAAATTAATGGGAAGTGTTGGCGACTCGAACGTGAGCTTAACATTACGTTATTTTGCAATCATTTCGTTGAACCTGAGTAAGAATAATATGATAAGTACTTATATATAAGAGTTCTATTGTTTTTGCTATCGCAGGCGTAATTTATATTTCAAATCATAATACATAATAAAGACTATTGACATCACATCACAGTCGTACTTGTCGTTAATGTTTCAACATCAACTTCATTTCGGAAAATGATATCTTGTCAATATTCTTCATTATGTATTATGATTCGAACTATAAATTTCGTCTGCAATACCACAAACAACAGAACGCTTATATATACTTACTTATCATCTGCAGTCTAACTCAATTTCGACGAATGATTGCAAAATAACGCAATGTTAAGCTCACGTTCGAGTCGTCAGCACATCACATTAATTTTATCCCACTATCCATTAGTTTCAAACTTCCAGTGATTTGTGACAAATAAAATGTACTTTTATTGTACGTCACATATGGACTTGAACTTAATTGACATCTACTAAATATCCGAGGATATAGTCAATTAAGGTGCCTATGTATCCCTCATATTGGGAATCAAAGTCCACGTAGTTCTATTACAAAACGTTTTGAATATTATTGCTCAATTGTACGCATATAAGAGGGTTGGAATCAACATTTTTTTTTTCCGGTTTGCTTATTAGTATCAAATTACAGAGAATAAGATGAGGGATGAATCGATTATCATGCGAATAAATGGACAGTTGAACACGAAGGAGGAAGCCATTCAAATTTCTCAGTGCTGATGTCACTAGACGCTTTCAAAGAGGACGATAATCTTATATTGCAGGGCTTCAGCGGCTGAAGTCCTGCAATATAAGCTTATCGTCCTCTTCGAAAACGCCTAGTGACATCAGTACCGATAAAGTTTTAGTGGCTTCATCGTTCTTGTTCAAGTTTTCATTTATTCGAGCGTAACCGATTCAGCATTTGTGTTATTCTTTTTAATTTGAAACTACTTTTAAACTTTGATACAAGATGATGCCTTTGTCCGAAAAGAGTTAGTTTATCAGTATGTTGAGTTTCACCAGCCTCATAATACAATCCGACTGCAATACACAGCCTCGAGAAATACCGTCGTTCTTTTTGCTAGTGGCCTACAACACGTTACTGAATGGAACTTGTCCATGTTATCATCTTTGTCGTACAATATATTTATACCATCATCACACAACAATTGTGTAGTGATAGTATAAACATCTTGTGCAACAAAGATGATAACAAGGACACCTTCCATTAAATAACGTGTTTTTATGACACTACAAAAAAAAAATGGCGATATTACTCGAGACTGTGTATTGAAGTCGGATCGCATTATGAAGCTGATGAACCCCAACACACTGAGAAATTAACTTATGTAAGGTTTTCGAAGGTGGATAAAAGGTTTCCTAAGTAATTATATTTAAAAATGGACTTGAGTGTAATTGACATTTAATAAATATCTGAGGACGGATGATATAGTCAATTAAGGTGCCTACGTTTCCCTAGTATGAGGAATCAAAGTCCACGTAGTTCTTTTCGTGTGTGACTATTGTGATTTTTTTAATAATTGATTGCAAAGTTACCAGTATATTATTTTGCATTAATTTAACAGACATTGACTCAGAATTCTGTTTGTTGTGTTTTTGTCGTTATTTTCGTGTGTTTTGTGTGCTTTATTTTATGGTTTTAGGCTCGTTTTAGTGTCGACCGGTCCATTTTATCGTGTTTTGTGCATTTTTGTTATTGTATAGTGTTTTCGTATTTTTGCGCGTTTTCTCTTTTGTTTTGGTGTTGAATAGGTCCAATGTGTCGAGAACGAGGAGACGAGCCGTCCAACCCGGAAAATCCGACCAAGCCATACCGGGACGAAGAGAATTCAATGAGGAGAATTTTGGTCCAAGTTTCGT